GGCTTAGATTCTTGTACTTCGTGAACTGTGATATCGACAGTACCACCTTCACTCAAAGGAACAAAGATAATATTTTTTTCTAAAATATTTATTTTTGAAAACTTTGTTTATTTTAAACTGCTTTTAAACATCTGGTTTGAGTTATATTTTTAGTTGATAAATCTATAAATTCAAAAGAAGAGGAAAGTTCCATACGCCGACTATGAAGATATCAAAAAATGAATCTATACTGACAGAGACATATTTTGAAAGTCATTCCAAGATAATCATTGTGAAATAAATTTTAAATACCTCCTGCGTCTACAACAATATACTTGGTACCAGCTGGAAGCTTTGAAATTGTCTCATTTCCTGATGCAGCTACTGGTAAATGGCGGCAATATATTGAAGCTGCCTCGGGTTCCAGAGCAATACTCAGCTGGTCCTCGTCTATTCCCGCCTGTAATAAATAGAGTTAAAATGCATCCAGAAATTTATATTTAGACACATAGAAAGAGACATACATGCATTTCTATATAGAGTCATTCTCAATTTTTAGTTTGAGACACTTAAGTAATGATAACTTTGTGTAAATGTTCCAGGTAACACAAACATACTGATTATAATAGCGGTATCTTCATAAACTGAAACAGTTTTCAAATCGTATAAAAAAGATACTGATGCAAAACATGATATTCGAAGTAACTGATTGCAAATTAAATGGGGAAAAAGATAGTGACGGTAAAACCTTACAAAGGAGATTTTCAGGTAACTGTTAATGAATAGATCTTAAAGAAACATACATATGAAATTAAAATTCTAACTTTTATCGCCGCCTCTCTCATAAACTGCTTCGATGCATCCGACCATATTGCAGGAACTGTTAATACCCAGCCGATATCAGGGGGTAACAATTCTCCTACTGTTCGCTGATTTACAGTTTCCATCATATCCTTTACCAGGTATTTCAACGATATTGAAAACACGTCTATGGCCAAAAACTGTTTGCCAATTTCATCATGTATCATCATGTCCCTTTTAATACCCTTGTAAAAATACAACAATGAATGAAATAGAATAATGACTTTCTCTAACGGTAGTTCGTTCGCATTGCATATGTATCATTTAATTATGGTTTGCTTCTTGTAGTTTTACTTTCATTTACAAATTGCATTACCTGTGTCATACAAATACTTGTGCATATCATATATTTGGGAGAGTTATAGCAGTTAACTTTCATACTAATTACAGACCTTTCCATACGGTTCGTAGAGCTTCATTTTAAAATGCCTGAAGAAGAAGTATTTCGAGTGTAGATGTTTGGCTGAAAGCTTTCCATATCTCTTCTCTGCATCGTAGCCAAATGAATCAAATGTTCCGTCTGGTTTTAGCAATAAACATGTCGGTGTTTTTTCTGTGGTTATCGTTCCTGCATCCCAAATTTTAACGGTTGCACCTGGGGGACTTCTTTTATTTTCATGTTTAAAAGAGAATGCCCAACCAGAATATGACGTTCCGAAATCTATTGCCCCGACTAACAATCGACCACCAGTTTCCTGTGTAGTGATAATATTTTAGCATGTCATTTCATTGAATTTTGTGATAAAGTGTATGCCTGATAAATTAAGCTATATAAGTCACCCTCAGCTTTATCAGACACTTCATCAATACATATTGAAATAAAATGAAGAGAGTGGAATATTTTTATTAGTAACTAATAAAGAAAAATTAAATTGATAAAATTCCAAACGAATATAATCTTTTTATAATTTACAGTCTCTCTTACTTTTGACTATAACATTTGTGACTATTTCTTATAGATATGAACCTTGGCATATTACTGCGCGCATAATTAACTCAGAAGTTCTTGACAGTTTTTGTTTCATTTAAAATTTTAAGAAAGAAACGCATACTAAAATTGAAAACACGATAAATAGAATACCAAACAAGTGTCCGAGATTATAAAATTTATCAGGCTCGACACGAAAATAATGAAGGGCACGGTAGAGCCTCACACCATTCCTTTTTTTCTAAGCCTTGCCTGAGAAACTTTTTAATATCAGACACAAGCATGGTAACTGTTATATGTAAAATGTAGATACACTGGTTGCCAGTAAAGACAGAAATTCTCGCTAGGGGGTTATTATTTAAAGCGGTAACAAGTCTCTACAAACGCTTCTGTTTGTTTTTGCTTGATGCATATTGTTGAAAGTTAGTGAAGAAATAACGCCAACCAGATTTATATTTTATAGAATATCTCATGGTAGCATAAGAATTCAGAACTTTAATAATAACGGCAGCAGTTTTTTTTATTCAAATCGTGATATGATCAATATGAGCTATTGCACGAATATAGGAGGGTAATACACTGAATTGTGTACAAATTTGTTTAAAATTGACCGCAAAAATGAACAAGGCACTAGTTTCTGTAGACACTTGGAATTCTTGTTCACTATCAGTTAGGATGCATTTAAAAATCATGAAAAAAATCAAAATTGCCCAAACTAAGGTAATTTTGACCTTTCACCTACACCATGACCTTGACTTTATAACGCGAACCACAACGGCGTAATAACGTGAATCCAAAGGCCAGATTCCAACAACAAGACAAGGAAAAATTCGGGGCATTTAGAGCTAGATTTATGACTTGACAACATCAGAACCGTTTTTGAAAGCAGATCTTAAAAAACTAACACTAAACGTAATTACGAGTATATAAAGAGTATTTATCAATATAAACAACAATAAAACATTTTTTTTTTCATTTTCATTTTGCGTTACCATTTTGTCTTAGTTAATCGGAGGCTTAAACTGAATAACAGATATTTGTTTACATTGACAACTGTCCGTTTCTTATAAGGGCGACAAGCAAGATTAGCGGCGTATTTGAACGCCATATTTCCGGTATAAGCATTAAAGACGTTAAACCTTCAGACCATTATGTACATCATCGGGACATTGTCGCATAATGACGTGCAGCAACCAAGTATTAACCTCTAATTATTTGCGTAACTTTGCCTTTCGTTTTGCGTAATAACGCTTTTTGATTCGCGTTATCACGCCTTTTTAAGCGTCATTACACCTTAATTTGCTCGCCTTTTATTTAACGTAATTGCGCCTTTTTCGTGTTATTACGCATTTTTCCGCGTTTCTACGCCTTTATTCGCGATAATACGCGTTTCGTTTTGCGTAAACGTATTCTTGTGGGCTTCTTCATATTGATATAACACATGCCCCTGGAGTATCCTCACGCCAATCACTTTCATATGAGCAAAATAGGATCAACGAGGATATCTTGAATTGTTGTAAACAATTAATTTTGTTTAACCAAAATGAAAATGATTTAAAATTATAAAGTTAAAGAACCAAAATAAAAAAGAATTAATACCTATGTTACTATATATAGTAACAGAAACTAGGGCATTTCAGGGCCATTATGGCAAGATCTAGGTTATTATGCAATTTTGGCCGCCTTGCTACTCGGCATTATTTTTCCATAATGGGAGAGTGAATGATCGCACATGCAAAATGACTTCATCAACTCTCAGTGACTTTCAAGATGGCTGCTGACGTTGAATGAACAGTAGTCACTTGCACACACAATTTTTTAAAGTTTAAATGACAGCATCACAATCAGCAAAGCTTATCATTGAAGATTTATAAACTCAAGAGAATACATGACTCTCAAAAATTCCAAAAATGATATTAGATTGACTATAAGAAAAGGTCAGATCTCAGAAACTGTTCTTGAAGGCACAAAACTTAAAAAAAACTGGCACTAACGTTACTCGTTATCTCGAGATTTAAAATGTAATTCTCACAAAAAGTTTGAAGGGTAGGATTCTGTATTTATCGATAAAAACAACAATAAAACAACATTTTCTTATATTTATTTCGTACAGTATGACAAATATTTGTCCGTTTCTTAGAAAGGGCCACGCCGTATTTCGGTAATAGGTATTAAAGACGTTAATACTTGGTTGCTGCTCGCCATTATGCGATAATGGCCCTCGAATTCATAATGACCTTCAGGTCTGCGGCCCTCAGGCCATTATGCATATCTTCGGGCCAGTATCGCATAATGGCGAGCAGAAACCAAGTATTGACCTCTAAATAACGAACAAGATAAAACAATGGTAAAACAATCAAACTTAAAATTTTAGGTTAGCATTGGCATTAAAAAACTTCCAATGTTATATGGTAATATGAGAAATGAAATGAATATATCCTAGGAATACATACCATTATTTTTTTCCTGTCAAAGTCCAAGGCACACAAGAACTACAAATCGCGGCTAAACACTTTGATGGTACTTTAAAAAATTATAAGTGCCATTGGCCTGTATGTCTATTAATGTAAAAGGTATCCAGTATTATGTTTAATTAAATACAAAATATAAGAACATAAACGGAATTTCTTGTGTACATTTATAATGATGACTCGGTTACATAACATTAAAAAGACACAATCTCGAACTTTTATCAATTTATTTGCAATTTGTGAGTGGGTGCTGATAGTACGCTTACATGACAATTATGATATTTATGATATCACTTGAAAACAAACACAATACTGTTTTATCCATGTGACAAGTTGGACTTTATTCTACACAGTGGAAGGCCAGTAAACGCCACCACTTTGAACAAATAAAAACAGCATGAAATAATATCGTAGCGAAACAGAGCATGACTTTCATGGTATGACACAGTATAGCATAGTATAAATCATCATTTTACATAATTTGCATGTATAAATGTTCAGTGTAAAAATATGATATGTGACAGAAATGAAAATGCTAGATCTATATTATTTGAATTTGAAGTATTTTCTCGTTGTATATGCCCATAAAGACACAAAATATTCCGGAAAATTTTACTTTGCTTGTAATGAGTCACATTGGCAAACACAACGTTTAAAATATAATATTCATGCGGAAAAAAGGTGTCAAATACAAGTCAAAATTACATGCGTACGATAGTCATATAGTATGAAATGAAATGAAATAAAATGTTGGTAAAGCTTTATAACGCGAATCAAAAGGTGTAATAGTAGTAACGCGAATAAAGACGTTTTAATACCTATGTTACTATATATAGCAACAAAATCTATGGTATTTTAAGGCCATTATGGAAAGATCTAGGTCATCATGCAATTTCGGCCGCCTTGCTACTCGGCATTATTTTTCCATATGTGCGAGTGAATAAGCGCTCGTGCAAAATGACGTAATCAACTCTCAGTGACTTTCAAGATGGCTGCTGACGTTGAATGAACTGTAGTTACTTGCTCACAATGACAATAATAATAATAAAAGCATAAAATTGAAGATTTTTAAACTCAAGAAAAGAATACAATAACTCTACCCAAGACAAAACATGACCCTCGGAAATTTCCAATTTCAGAGATCGGATCGATTACATCATTAGTCAGTCTCAGAAAGCATTCTGAAGGCACAAACAAGAGCTGTCGGTAGGACAGCAACGCTCGACTATTCTTAGTGATTGATAGTAAAAAAAGCCTTGATTAAAAGGTAAAATTTTCTAAGTAAAGAAAAAGGCAAATTTTTTCTTTAAATCCATATTACAGTTAAAGGCCTTGGAGAGAGTCCTATTATGCTCTCAAAGAAGAGTATAAAATTTCAACATGTTTCAAAGCCTTATGTCAATGAATTTTGAAAATATTTGAGGTACATGTATTACAAAAACTTTAACGTAAATTCTAAGTCGAAAAAGGGGCATAATTCTGTTAAAAAGCTTAATAGAGTTACCTCCTCCTGACAACAGGTTGGAGTATTGATGGTGAACAAGTGTGAAAAGTTTCAAAGCCATATTATGTCAATGGACTTTGAAAATATTTGAGGTATAACAAAAACTTTAACGTAAATTCTAAGTAGATAAAGGGTCATAATTCTGTCAAAATGCTTGATAGAGTTACCTCCTCCTGTCTAAAGGTTGGGGTCATGATTGTGAACAAGTGTGCAAATTTTCAAAGCCATATGTCAATAGACTTTGAAAATATTTGAGGTATTACAAAAACTTTAACGTAAATTCTAAGTTGAAAAAGGGGCATAATTCTGTCAAAATGCTTAATAGAGTTACCTCCTCCTGTCTACAGGTTGGAGTAATGATGGTGAAAAAGTGTGCAAAGTTTCAAAGCTATATGTCAATGGACTTTGAAAATATTTAAACTATTACAAAAACTTTAACATAAGTGGTTACGCCGACGCCGACGCAGACGCCGACGCCGACGCTCGGGTGACTACAATAGTACTACTTATTCTTATCGAATAGTCGAGCTAAAAATCTGAAAAACTGACACCAAATGTTATTGTTACAAAAAATATATAGAGTATTTATCATTAATACCTATGTTACTATAAATAGTAACACAATCTAGGGTTTTTCAGGGCCATTATGGCAAGATCAAGGTCATTATGCAATTTCGGCCGCCTTGCTACTCGGCATTATTTTTCAATAATATGCGAGTGAATGAGCGCACGTGCAAAATTACGTTATTATCTCTCAGTGACTTTCAAGATGGCTGCTGACGTTGAATGAACTGTATGAATGTCAATTGCACATACAATTTTAAGTTTAAAGGACGAAACCAATCTCAATCAACAAAGCTAAACATTGAAGATTTATAAACTAAAAAAAGAATACAATAACTCTACCCAAGACAAAACATGACCCTCGGCACCTCCAAAAATGATTTCATTTTGACGGTAGAAAAAAAGATCAAATAGAGGGCAAATAGAGCTAGACATCAGTCTCGGAAATCTTTCTTGAAGGCACAAATGTTGATAAAAAACTGGCACTTAATGTTTTTCTCACAAAAAATATATAGAGTATTTATAGATATAAACAACAATAAAACAACATCGTCTCATATTTATTATTTATTTACTCAGGCCATTATGCACATCTTCGGACGATTATCGCATAATGCCGAGCAGCAACCAAGTATTAACCTCTAAATATAAACAACAGTAAAACAACATATATATTTTGTTTTGTCAGTCTTTCAAAGTTAATCTGAGGGCTAAACTGAAATGACAGATATTTGTTTACATTGAAAACTGTCCATTTCTTAGAAAGGGCGTATTTCGAGTCCATATTGTCCTTCGGACCTGCGGCCCTCAGGCCATTATGCACATCTTCGCACCATTATCGCATAATGGCGAGCAGCAACCAAGTATTAGCCTCTAAATAACGCAAAAAGTAGTAATAACGCGAAACAAAAGGCGTAGGTAATTATACAGCACATACCCGTAGATAATTGAAACACATTACGCATATATGAAATAAAATATAAAATAAAATAAGATAAAAGATAAAATAAGAATGTATTTACTATTGTGATAGCGACATATGTATAATCCATTATGAGAATTCAGAGTAACTGCTTTTACAGCCGCCCCAATTGACCTATAAGTGATTATGCCTCTTGATTCGCGTTGTTACGCAGTTTTTTCGCTTTATAACGCCTTTAATAGGCCTTTTGTTTAGCGTAATTACGCCTTTGATTTTGCGTTTCTACGCCTGCATTTGCGTTGCCACGCCTTTTTTTCGCGTTTTTACGCCTTTCGTAATTACGTCTTTTGATTCACGTTATAACGCCTTTTCATTTTAAATTTTATTTCATTCGATACTATTACGGGCTTATGTTATTTCGTACTTGTCTGTCAATAACAAATTTTCATCAATATTCTAAGTGGAAAAGGCAGAATTGCTGCCATTATTGAAGTATTTCCAATGCCTCACAACTTTTCCTTGTCATGATAATCAAATGTTTCGTTATTGTTGATAGCTTTAATAGTTTTGCAACCTTTTTTCTTAATTTTGACAAACAAAATGTAATTAACAGGTGGACCATTTTGGCTCTTAATCGCACTCACACT